TTTAAAAATCCGAAGAACTGCATAGAATAATACTAGCGTTCAAGAGTAAGAATATTTTAGCGATGACTTGTTTATTTTGTTTGTATTGTACATATAAAGACACTAACATATTTATATTTGAATACAGTTTAACACCTTTCCAATTTGTTCGTATATAGTTATGCATAAGTGATTTACGCAATTCAAAGCGTTGTGTCACAGAACCTTCACGGTCGCTAGGGGACTCGCCTTTCATTTTTAGGTAATAAATACTGTTAATTGGTATTAGCTAGAAATATTTTCATTTTTTATTTTCAATTAGATAGTTGCAATTTCATAATAAATTAACTATGAACTTCAACTTTAAAATCCCACTAATAGGTTACTGGATTTGTCACTTTTAATTTAAATAATTAACTAGGCATCATAAGGCCTAGTTAATTAATTAAGTTTTGGCCAATCATTAAGTGGTTAAATTAAAAAAAAACACCAAAGTTTCAAATATGAATATATTTATAAAATATGAAGATCTAATTAAAATATAAATTTATAATAATAATAACTTTTGAATATTATCTGTTGTACAGATCATCAAATAATTTTAAGGAACAAAAAATAAAATATATGATTTTACAAAAAAAAAATTCTACTTCTGATGTGCGTAAAATATTGTTGACTTAACAAAATAACTATCACATAAAAGATTGAATTACTCTAAACAATATAGTAAGCGGAGTGCACAAAAATTAAGCAATAATATAAAAAAATAATGTCAAAACATAATTATATAATGATATGTTGAAATGCTTCCAAATAATGCTGAAAAAACCCAAGCAGTAATTTTGTATGACTAGCGACTCGCTTAGGAGATAATTTGAAAATGCCGTAATACGTGTTCACATGCAAAACTGTATATTTTTCTACACTCGTACATCTCTGATTATAAGAATACAATAAAATGGTAAGAAAGTAATTGATCCTACCGATATAAGTAATACTTAATATTATTCAAATAAAAAAAAGAAAAAAATTGTTTGTTGTTTTTTGCATTGAATAAGCTTCAAAACTATTGAACAGATTTGAAAAAATCTTTCACTGTTGGGAAGCTACATTATCCTGGGTGATATTGGCTATACTTATTATACTATTATTTTTAATTCCGCGCAGAGGAAATAGCGGGCAACTGCTAGGTTTACGTAAAATGGTATTGTTAGTTAAACAAAAACATTTAAATTTAAATGCACGACATAATATTATTTCTGTAGTGGATAACAATAAAAATAATCTCATATAGATAACATAGTACATTGAGTAGTGTTTTATCATATACATTTCCTTGTTTCCACTTACAAGTAACTCTAATATACAGATTTATTTTTTGTATTTTAATATCCATCCCAATGATAATATAAAATAACTCTACACAAGTATTTTTTACAAAACAATTTTGATAAATGAGTTAAGTAACGTAATAATTGTTTCGAGTATAATTTTATTCTAGGTCTACTGAACTAGAATTGCCAAGAAAATGCTTATATACTTTACATTGTATATCTAAATACCTATAGTATCATATTTACAAAACTTATTTACCTATAATTGTGTTACAAAAATAAGTATTTCTATGTCATGAATATATTAAACGATTGTATTTTGTTTTACTGAATATCAATTAATACAGTTTTTAAGTTAAAAAAAATCAGCAATAAAGACAATAATCAAATAAAAGAAGTTCGGAATTTACATATCATATTTGATATCAGTTAACAATGAATAGTCCTTAATATTTTGATACAAAAACATATTAATTTGTATTAAACATGGAATGTTGTTTAAATAACAACAATGGAATGTTTAACATAAATGGATTTTGTAACTTAAGCCTAAATTTTTAATTGTTAAATTTTATGAAATCTTAAATTTTCTAAGCAATACTTAATATTTCATTACTATAGTAAATACATGAAATAAAAAAAACATTTTATATGCTATATACATACAAAAAAAAAGAGATCGCCTACGTGAAATCAATAATTTGAAAGTTTACTCTACAGTAACTGATTTAGCAAGGTTTCTTGGACAATCAACGTTGCATCCTCTCAACACAGCTATATGATAGGCCAACAACTGCATAGGAATAACAGTAAGGACACCCTGTAAACAATCTACAGTTTTCGGTACTTCAAGGTACCGTGAAGCAAGATCCATAGTTTCTTTATCACCTTCCTCGCATACAACGATAGGTCGACCTTGACGAGCTGTAACCTGCTGTAGTGCGTTCATGCATTTAACGTAAACTGGATCACGCATAACTATCATCATAACCGGCATAGAATCATCAATAAGAGCTAGAGGACCATGTTTCAATTCACCAGCCATGATGCCTTCACTGTGCATGTACGTTAATTCTTTAACTTTTAAAGCACCTTCCAAACAGGTGGCAAAATTGTATCCTCGACCCATAATGAGTAATGATCGTTGGCGATAAAGATCCTCAGCTAAAGCTTTCACTTTGTCATCTAAAGCTAATACTTGTTTAATCTTTATGTCCAATTCATGCAATCCAGCAATGATGTCTGCTCTCCTCTTTTGCAAAGAAATACGATCTTCACTTATTACTAGGGCAAACATAACAAGTGATACAAACTGTGAAGTATAAGCCTTTGTTGAAGCTACACCAATTTCAGGACCAGCGTTGATGTGAACACCACAATGTGATTCACGGCAAATGGAACTACCGACAGTATTTGTTATACCAACAATAAGAGCGCCATGACGTTTACAGTAACGTAGAGCCATCAAAGTATCAGCCGTCTCTCCTGATTGTGATATGAAGAAGCACACATCATCTCTGAAAACTGGGGTGTTTCTATCCAAGAAGTCAGAAGCTAACTCTACCATTACTGGAAGTTCAGTCAATTCTTCCAAAAGCTGACGAGTAGCCACAGCACTGTGGTAACTGGTACCACATCCTATCAACATAAGCCGTCTGCAGCGCTTTATCTCTGGCACATAATCTTTAATACCACCAAGGGTAACAGTGCCATCTGCAAAATTCAACCGTCCTCTCATAGTATTCACAATAGATTCAGATTGCTCAAAAATTTCTTTCTGCATGAAATATTCATAGTTTCCTTTCATAATTTGTTGCAACTCTAATTTCAAAGTGAATATTTCCCTTTGATGTGGGTCATTGCTGCTTGTTGACATGCGGTGAATGCTAAGGACACCATCTTTAATATGAGCAACATCATCATCTTCAAAATAAAGCACTTTATTTGTGTGTTCAATGACTGCTGAGGCATCTGATGCAAAGAAATACTCCACATCTCTCTCTTCCTCGGGCTCAAAGTGAGCATGACTGTTGACACGAGGTACTGAAGGTACAACTCCCCTGGTAGCTTTATTGTTAGTGTACATGATAGGAACATGGTCACTGGAGAGCCGGCGACGTGTCTTGATCCCAACTAGTAAGGGACTACCACGCCTGGTTGCAACACACTCATTAGGAAAGTATCGTGATTTAAAGCACAAAGCAAAAGCACCTTCAAGTTGTTGAATTACCTGTTCTACCAATTCCTGGAAGCTGTAGTCCTTGTGTTGACTGTAGATGTGGTGAACTAACTTTGCAATAGCCTCCGTGTCAGTCTGGGATTCAAAACTGTAGCCCTTGTTCTCCAGGAAAGTTTTAACAGCTTTGTAGTTAGTAATAATTCCATTATGAATGACAACAAACGCATTGTCCTCTCCAGAGCGCTGAGGATGCGAATTGATGGCACTCGGTTCTCCATGAGTAGCCCAACGGGTATGTGCAATACCACAATGAGATTCCACACTTTCATCTACACCCAATTCAACACTGCGCTCCTGAAGCAATTCTTCGAGTGCCGCTACTTTCCCGCTTCTTTTAATAACCGCAATATCTTTTTCATCGGCAGCATCAACAGCGACGCCTGCAGAATCATAACCGCGGTATTCCAAACGTTTAAGCCCGTTGACGAGAAGTTCCAAAATTTCTCGGCGCGTTTTAGGTGTAAGGTGATTAATATACGCGAATATTCCACACATCGTTAACGAAGTAGAGCGAATACGTTGACTCGAGTGCACAAAACCACGAACGACTGTGGACTGTGAGCAATACAACGTGTAACTGATATCGAAGACCTTCGAATAACTCCTACCACTAATAAGATACTTTCACTTACGGCCATGCACACGTCATCATGTTTCGTTATCGCAGATACAGCCTAGTAGCGTAAATATCGGCACAAGCAGGGGCAAAACCAGTCTATAATCACTCAATACATTCAAAGCAATTGACATCTGCGATGGGCTGACAGTTCTAGGTTGGTGCTTTGCTGTCAACTGTCAAAAAACATACTTTGACATCTAAGTGTCAGTTTGACAGCAATGCTAATTGCTTTGAATTCTTGGCTCAAACTAAAAACCATACAAAATCTATGGTTTTCCAGGAATGTAAACACCTCGCCATGTTACGGAAACCCCACAGAAGTTTTTATCACAATAATAGCAACAGCAATTTTTTTTTGAATATCAATGCGTAACACCCTTTCGTGAAAATTTGGTTCAAGCAAAAAAATCACTGATAACTCCGGTATTGCACCAAATATTCTAGTAAATGATATTTCTACGACTTATTTAAAATATTTGGGTACCATACTAAGGTTATACAAGATCATGAGTTATTCGCATATTTCAAAAAAATGGTAAGTTTCATCAAAAAACAGAGTAACAGTGGATTGTAAAATTACATCTCTATTCTTCTTTTCTATCATGACAGCAAACATGTCTGAGATATCAAAGTTTAAACAGTTGAGACAAGCTTTACTTTCGTTGTAGATATTCACCCGTCCTGCAATGCCCAATATGCGGTATAAACCACACCAATACAATGTTTCATGTATTTTACACTGTTATTTTAATGCCCTTTTTCCGTATAGAAATGAAATTATTGCCAATGTAAAAGGAAGAAAGAAGGTGAACATAAAACAAGATTTATTTTACCAGTAGCTTCTTTATTGGTTTTATCAGGATTAAGGTCTTTACAAAAATTATTGAAAAAATTACAAAGATACATTTAGCTTAAAATGAGTTTCAAGTTTCTTCATACCTATGAAATATATAATATAAAACCTAATATAATACGGCCTATTTAAATTGAATGTTTAAACCTTTACACTGACATAAAATTCCAACGCCAAATAAATTTAGTTTCACAAAGAAACAGGTTAGGAACAAAAATCACGTTGCCTACACTCTTTACTCGTACTTCAAAATTTTTAACCAACGTTTTCAACGTTTTAAAATCGTACTGCTAAATCAACTAAAGGGATCCGGTTCTAAACCGACCCTCTCATTTTATACACTCTGATGTTTTGCTTTACTCTTAAATCTCTAACATATCCTCTACCGTAAGAAAATAACGCTCTTAAAAAGTATTGTTAACATCTTTGAAATAAAATTATTACAAAGAAATGAAACGAACAAAACTTGAAGTTACCAACTAACAAAAAAAATGAATCTTCTAAAGGACAAACTGAGTATTTATAACGAACATTAAATTTAGACAAGGTAACAAGTGAACGAGCACGACGTAGTGAAACGGTTTAAAAATCCAATAATGGAGCCGTTGCCTTTCCTTCTAAACTCTTTCCGATGAAAGAATAAAACGTAACGAGCTTTCAAGTGCGGGAACTCAAACTTGGCGAGTAACTTACGACTAAAGTAATCACAAATACATAAACTTAACACATAAGCGTAACTAAAACGAATTAACTTTAAACACATCTCGCTACGATAAATGCACGTAATACGGGGGGAGGTGATGTCACCAGTGAAGAAGCTATGATTGTTGACATAGGGAGACGACAACGATAGTGAGGGCTCGGTGATGACCGATGCGCCGGAGCGACCGCCAGCTGCGCGCACCGCGCCGCCGCCCGCGCACACCGCAGCGGGGGCATTGACAACACGGAACGAGGGGGCAGAGGGGACAGAGAGGGGAGAGGGGGGTGGCGCAATGTTGCAGGCGATCGCTACCGGCTGCAGCACAATGATTGATGTGCCCCATAGTTATTTCTTCTTCTGCGCCTTCTCGGCGGCCTTGGTGATTTTACCTGTGGTCACCTCCTTGAAAGTCACGCTCTGAAAAAAAAAATATAAATATTCAGACAGGTCATCAATTAATTATTAATCTGACCAGTGACTAGTTTTGAAATTGCTGAACCGAATTATTCAACGTACTTTGTATTCATGTGATGGATTAAATGCGAGGTTACCTTAATGACGCCGACGGCGACAGTCTGGCGCATGTCACGCACGGCAAAGCGGCCGAGAGGCGGGAACTCCTGGAACGACTCGACGCAAAGAGCCTTGGTCGGCACCAGCGTCACGATCGCCGCGTCACCAGACTTAATCGACTTCGGCTCCACCTCCGTCGTCTTGCCTACACTTACAAACATCATTGTCAACAATAAGGTTATTATATATATTATACATACATTCAACACACATAAGACAGCGACAACATGGTGACTCCTGATCTAGATACAGAACATCGTGTTCGCGTATTGTTTTGGGACGAATGTAGTCTTGTAGCATTGGTACGCACCGGTACGACGGTCGCACTTCTCCTTGATCTCAGCGAACTTGCATGCGATGTGCGCCGTGTGGCAGTCCAGCACTGGCGTGTAGCCGTTGCTGATCTGCCCCGGGTGGTTCAGCACGATCACCTGCGCACATCGCAATGTGTAAGACTTGATGTTACCTTCTCATTGTTAAACATAAATAAAAACATTTTGTTGATAACCTGTACCTGAGCAGTAAAATCGGAGGCTCCCTTGGGGGGAGAGTTCTTAGAGTCTCCGGCTACGTATCCGCGGCGTAATTCCTTCACCGAAACGTTCTGAAAATAAATTTACTAATAACTACCAAAAAAATCATGCAGCAAAAAGATAATTTTTACATTACTCTCGTACTATATTATTACATTAATTTTTATGCAAATATGTCACGGGCTTACCTTGACGTTGAAGCCCACGTTATCTCCGGGCATGGCCTCGGGCAGCGCCTCGTGGTGCATCTCCACAGACTTCACCTCGGTTGTGATGGCGGCCGGAGCGAACACCACCACCATACCTGCACAAAGAACATGTCTTCCAATTCAGCCACACAGTATGCAAATGCGCGGCTACGATGTAAGTTTGGCTCTTAATCAAACTCACCCGGCTTGAGGATGCCGGTCTCGACGCGGCCAACGGGCACTGTGCCGATGCCGCCGATCTTGTACACGTCCTGCAGCGGCAGACGCAGCGGCTTCTCAGTCGGCCGCGACGGGGGCTGGATCGCGTCCAGAGCCTGACACCATCACACCATTTCTTAGTAGGTACATACTAAGTTAAAAATAAAAACTTTAGCCGATGATGTTGACGTACCTCAATGAGGCACTTGCCCTCGACCTTGCCGTCCTTGCGGTCAATGGTCCACCCCTTGAACCAAGGCATCTTATCAGACGGCTCAAGCATGTTGTCGCCGTGCCAGCCGGAGATCGGCACGAATGCCACGGTCGCCGGATTGTATCCTAAACACGATAAAATTAAAACATTTCTCCATAAACGATTATAACTAAATTATAAAAAAATATTGCACGTCGCTTACCAATCTTCTTGATGTAAGAGGAAACTTCCTTCTTGATCTCCTCGTAGCGCGCCTCGTGGTAGGGCGGCTCGGTGGAGTCCATCTTGTTGACGCCCACGATGAGCTGTTTGACGCCCAGCGTGAAGGCGAGCAGCGCGTGCTCGCGGGTCTGACCGTTCTTACTGATGCCCGCCTCAAACTCGCCCGTGCCCGCCGCCACGATCAGCACGGCGCAGTCCGCCTGCACACATATTTCACATATTTCTCATATTAACATACCAAATAAAGGCATAATTTTTGGTTCATAGATATTGAAATTATTATTATAATTAGAGTGAAAAGTGTGAAGAGAAAGTTTTATGTGATTAAATCTATACTGGGTTATTTTATAGCTAGCTTGCCTGCTTTGCCTGTCGTCGATTTTTAATTAAATATTTCTGGGTTAACGCTTATACTTACATGTATTAAAAATATTCACTTGAGATTAAAAAAACATCGAGATGTAAGAGTTCCCCAACGTTGCAAAACTTAATAAATGAATAAGAAGCAAAACAGAAGTTAATAAATTAATGTCAGTCTTCTGCAGTTTATACATAAATATGTAGACAATGTTGCGTAACCTAGCGTGCTGTTATGTAACATAATACTTAGTTTTAAAAATAAACGTATCTAGGATTTTCATTTATTATATAACTTTATTTTAATAATGGAAAATGGAATAAACCAGATACACTGCAACAATCTTATTTGGTCTGGTAAGAGGTTCACCATCACGGTTATTTCTGTCATAAATGTATAACTTATTTAGGTAAACAAAATGATATAAAAGACTTATGAACACGGGCCAGATAACTTTTTTGTTCTATACTTTTAAAAGGAACTCATTAACTGATTCTAGTCACTATTGAGCGAGAGATCACGTTTCTGAAGAATCTGTGCCCGGCGATAATGTTATTGATAAAGTTCAATATTTCAGAAGTAGTCTATTTTTTTGAGTGAAATGTAATATGGTGAATTCCAATAAAAAATGAAAACCTAAATTTATGTCGAAGTCACGAATGATACAAATGCTGGGACGTCGGAGACATAGCTTACCTGCGAGGTGCCGGTAATCATGTTCTTGATGAAGTCCCTGTGGCCGGGCGCGTCAATAATGGTGACGTAATACTTGGCCGTCTCGAACTTCCAAAGCGCGATGTCAATGGTGATACCACGCTCGCGCTCCGCCTTCAGCTTGTCCAGAACCTTTGCAGATAAAAGTTACTTATTAATATCATTAAAGGAATTCAGGTTGGGTACCAATAAAATATTTTGGTGCATCCTGTATTCGATTTCGTCCATGACAATTGTGGCATCTAATAATTATTAATAACTATAATAAATAGGTTTTTTAACATATAAAATAAACATTTTAAAGACTCAAAATAAATGCCTAAGTTTGCCTATTCGTACACTATACTTAATGTAGTCGCAAACAAATTTATAACTACGCAAAATATCTCGTCAAATTCAATTTATGTTGCTTTAAATTTCCTTTACCAGAGTCAATTTCCTATCGACTAAAGTAGTTAGCGGATGATATTGCATCGCCGCAGTAGCTGGCGTGCCATGCGCCAACTTTGTTATTGAATAACGTTAGTTGCTTTGACATTAAATGCACAGCCAATTAAATTGAAGTCCATTTACTCTGTGAAATTTGAATTCCATCTACGTCCATCAAAAAGTAGTTCATATAAACACTGTATGAAATGTAGTAACTTTTCTTTGAAATAAACTTATTCACCATAAACAATGCCTATTCCAGTTGAAAATAGAGCAACTACCATTTGCAGAAAAAGAAATTAAAGTTAATGAAAAGTTTACCAGAATTGTAGGGCAATGCACAGTTTCATATACTTTATAAATTTACAATGAAAAAAATAATATGAAAATGGTCTAAAAAAGCTGTAGCTTTTTTTTTAATGTGTACTTACCCAGGCGTACTTGAAGGAGCCCTTGCCCATCTCCTGGGCCTCCTTCTCGAACTTCTCGATCGTTCGCTTGTCGATGCCGCCGCATTTGTAGATGAGGTGGCCGGTGGTAGTCGACTTGCCAGAGTCCACGTGACCAATCACAACGATGTTGATATGAGTCTTCTCCTTACCCATTTTAGCAGATTAATAAATAGTACAGTTACAAGAGTTACGATACCTGTTGAAGATAAAACAAATGCATGTTAAGTTACAAAGTGTAAATTTTTATTTAGTTGGACAGTAATAAACCTATGAATATTTCAAGTAAAAGGCGTAAATCGATTTTGATGGGGGTTTTAGAAATTATTAAATTCATTATACTTTAAGTTAAATGTGAGCCAACACTTTATGTTAGCTTTGCATTAGCTGCAACATGCGAATATCTATTATTAAAAAAATAAGGAAAGTAAGATGCGTCACAATATTGATTTACAAAGATTACATAAAGTTATGATACAGTTCTTGGGTATTGTACAATATATCCTTTTTGATCACTAGATTTAAATGTTCCTAGTTCCTAGTTATATATATTACGTATTAATTACCTAACAGGCGAAACCGGCAAGACTATCACTAAAAAAAATTACATAAGGCGTGGGCTGCCTTGCATCAAAATCGATAAGTTACTGTATGGGAGCCAGGCTGCAGGGCAAGACCAATAGATTCCTTTGCCTTGTATTCTTTTTGACTGTGGAACAATTTTCATATTTAAAAACTAACTTTACCGTCTCATATCTGTTTAAGGGCAACGCGCTATTAGTTAGGAAACGAAGCTCAAAGGTAGTGTTAATTGTTCTATGAAAACGTTTAAAAAACGGTTTAAAATATATTTTAAAGTAGTACTTATTGGAGCACGAGGTCCGCTGTAACGTAATAACGTAAGACGAAGAATTAAAAATTCAATGAACGATTCACTCTACTTATCTATTTTGTAACCCGTTACAATTAAAGTACAAAACTTGTATTTAACAAAAGATATCACCAACTAATTTTAATTATTAGACAAAAGTCATTGGAAGAATCCGAAGATCTCGTGAATTTAAAAAAATAATTATAATATCTGCGAATCATAATCACAGATATAAAGTTCTTCAGGTCTATCCTATTAAAAACGAATATGAACAATTGTTAACAAACTTGTTACAAGAAAATCAATATATCATTTGATGTAACTCACCGCAAATTGTAAGCTAAAAGCAATGCACTCGGAGTACGTAATACGAACGACTGCCTATCGCAGCAGAATTCTGGGACGAGTTGCCTCGGCCCCGGGCGTGCGCAGGACGTCCGGAACGTCGATACAGCCAGCTTCCACCCAAATATAGACAATTTGTCATAATAGCTACCACCGGCTCTATACTGCACGAGTTGGGTGCGTTACGCTTAGATAAAAATTGCTATTTCGACAAAATATCAGACTTTAATTTTATCTTAGATCGATCGTCACGATTTCCAATTTTCAACGAGAGAATCTTTCGAGATGTCTAGAACTATTTAATTACTTTTTAAATTATTGCACATTACCCACTGTGAGCGCATTCATTCTAAACTTAGCAGATGTCAACGATTAAATATATGCACAATAGCGAAGACGTTTCAGATTTAGACTTTTCGCATAGAGAAGCGTGCCATGTGCACTGTCTACGCAAGCAGCTCGCACCGGAAACAACAAATGCCAGCATCTCAAACATGCATAATGCATTCTTTCTTTAATTATCCGCAAATAGAATTATTGTACAATGACATATGAAAATATTGAAAGTTATAATCACAGTATGTCATAATATGACAATATCCGTGGATCGCCTTGAATTCGAATTTAGAAGCGGTACAGAAACTAGTTAATAAGATTAAAAGCTTATGATATCTTCTAATATAACTACTACATTTAATGCAAAGCAACATAATGTACCACATGGGTAACAAAATATGGACGAAAACACTATGATATCTTCGTAAAAACCTCAAATTTTCTTTCATTAATATATGCCAAATTAATACTATAATAAACCCTTCTTTGGGGCATCATAAATAAAATTTGTTATAAAACTTTATCAACAAATTGCGTAATTACTAAATACCACCCGATACCGGCACAAAATAAGACCCGGATTATAACATATACATGAAAAATTACCTACCAAAATTAGAAAAGATCCGACTTTTATCCTTACCAAGTTATATAAAGGAAGGCAATTGAAACCTTTAATTAAAAACAAGAGCTTACCTTTGCAGCCGCTGTCGCGAATTTTCCGACAAATTTTCAAGCATGCGCCGTAGTCCCTTCACCCGGGAAATGCAATCAATAAAATCAGTTGCAGCGCTTTTTATTTTCAATGATGATTTTAAGTAAATATCTTTGTTATTTCAACTCCAATAATTCAGATAGCCGTAATTAAGGATACGAGAAAGAACAAACGTTCACAATTTTATAAGATAAATAATATAGTACGAAAACTCGGAAGTATTCGATATATTTTTCAGTTCTCGACTGTTATGGCCAGTGTTGTGTAACTGAAAAGTTCAAGATTTTATTTAAAGAAACTATAATATTCAAAGAAATAAAAGAATTCATTTTCAAAGAAGAAAATGTGTGTTTAAAATCCAAACTAGAAGATTTTTTTATTTTACTGTATTTTTTGGTGCTATTTACAATTAATCAAATTATGCTACTGAAAGATTTCTAATGATTTTCAAAAATGGCAATGTTCTAAAATCAACTATTAAAAAAGGCTCAAATCGTTATTTTATTATGGGCAACTCCTGCTTTTTAATGCATTTATTCTCCGACTCTGCTAAAAAAGAACAGTATTTTATGCTGATATTGTTACCTAATATTGACGCAACATTTGTCCATCCATGTATAAAGTTACGTTATTTTTGCCATAGACTTGCTAATATATTTCCTCAATGATTCGTTCGCCAATGCTGAAGTGTTCCGATTTGTTCAGTAATTCTGATGCATCGACCTCTAAACATACTTATGCTGCCAAATACCTTGCGCAGATTACTCGCCTAACTTGGCCAGGGTAATATTTATTGAGTAGAGCTGTTTAGCCAATATACTTTAGAAGTGACTTACCAACCAATATACGGGCATTTTAAATTAAAATGTATGAACATCTCATGCATTTTAATTCCATTGAGTTCAGAGAATAAATGATTTTTAATAGAAGGACTGAATGTAGAGAAGTTTTTAGGGCAATTGTCTTATGTTTTTTTGAATAATTTCAATCTTTTGCTTCTCCATTAATTTGAAACGACACTAATAATTTTAAAATATGGTCATAAATTAATAAATGAAACAAATAACTGATAATTCATCGCTTTATTGGTATTAGGTAATAATTTATAATTAATCCTTACAATTATTTTCTTTGTTGAATCATGTAATAAAATTACAATAATAATTTTAAATTTAACTTTATAAAATTTCAAATTATCAAAATTAGAAAAAAAGTTAATAAAGATGTAATAAAAATCTAATTGATATCACATCCAAAGTAGTATAGTGCTTATGGCAGCCTTAATAATAAACCAAACATTTAAGTATTAAAAACTAGAATACATAGTTTAATTTGTAGATTTTTATAGCGAATATATATTGACTACACCATAATGAGTTCTACATAGGAACCCTAAGACCTAAATTCTAAACAAATAATAATTAAAAATGCCTAAATTCCATTCAATAACATAAAAATTCTAAGTAGCAAATAAATAAAATATAATATTGATAAATGTTTGTATTTACATCGAAATTTTATGTCATTTTAATTTTAAATTAAGTAAAAATGTTACATCATTGATCACAATAAGAACGTGCACATACGAGTTATGTTTGGAAATGTTTCGAACCTCTGAAAATTGATCTATTTTATCTTGTTTCATTGGCCTAGTATAATCATGTAGCGTAATATTTCTACAAAAATTTCCTTACTTGACCCAGAGCTCTCACGCACTGGAATATGTTTGGGCACTATGTTTAGAGTATACATATATATTTTTTGTTAAATAACGTTAATATTTGCATCTTCAAATTTCCGAAAATGTGTTTTATATCAGAATTTTCTTATTGAGATCCATTGATACTGGAATATTTTTTTTTACATAAAGCTGAAGTAAATAGTTACTAAGCCGTATTTGATAACAAATAGGTATATATATTTCTTATTAGAAATATAAGCAATGAACATATTTTTAAGTTACTTTAGACAACTAGTTTTCATGCTACACCGTTGAATGTACTAGACATTACATTTGGAATGTGTTGAATAATCAAATAACCGCTATGAAAATGTTTACTACTCCTCTATAAAAAATCTTATAGCATTTGTATATTAATAAGTTCGAAATATAAATTAAGAAAAAAATAGTTATTTACTCCACCAGTGTTATAAACGTCTAAATATAACGTCTCAAACTAATAGTTTCAATTAGCAAGTTCAAATCACAGATCTATAAAATAAACATTCTTATGTAAATACAAAAGTATAATAAGATAGGAAAACACTTTTTATTTGCCAGCCGGCCACGGTAGGTAGCTTCCCCAGCCTTTACCTGAATTTGGATCTTGACCTAAAAAGATGCAGAATTTTAGTTGACTAGAGTTAAATAACAAGTGAGTTTACATTACACGCAGAAAATACTTCTTACAAATATTATAAATGAGAATGTTTAGATGGATGGATGGATGAATATTTGCTTGAAGGTGTCTCTAGAAAGACTGAATGGATCTTGATGAAATTTGGTTTATATATAGAACATAGCCTGGTAGAACACATAGGCTGCTATTTTTTTTAATTCCGTGCGGACGGACTCGCTGGCGTCAGCTAGTTCAAAATAAGATCACCACTCGACTTATTGGAAATTACATTTCATTGTGGTGATAACGCAATTATTCGTTATTACCTGTATATATATTTAATTGTATCACTACAATACTATCTTTAAAATATTCGTTAGCTTCTAAATACAAAAATAGTTACCTTTTGCAATCGCTTGTATCTTTTGTGTCTCGTCCGGTGTGAGGGTCAAAATCTTCTGAAGTACTGGGATCAAACGACTGCGCTCGTCACCAGGAGGTAACGTGAGAAACTGAAAAAAAAAACATATCTTATAACAAATGACCAAAGTATGTATTCATCTAAGTATAAACAATCACTAAAGTGAGAAGGATCGTAACAGCAAAGCATCACTCACATTTCAGATCTGTTTAACAAAACAATACTCTTACGAACAGTATACTTAACTACTTTTTGCTATTACTTTCAAATCATTAAGACACAATGCCACAAAACCAAAGACAATTGTAATACACTTGCCATCTGTCGACCATAAAGTCAAGAGCTAGTTTATTCATTAAAAAAAATTGAGAGATGTATGTATAAACGGTTTTTGAGTTACTTGTCGTAACAAGTTCAAGATAAGTCGTGTTGTACCTTGAATGTGACATTCTTCATGTATTCGGTGTTGTGTGCGTGTGCGGATGCGCCGCGCACTCGCCGCAGCTCGCCCTTCAGCAGCTCGCTCAGCTGCGCCATGCGCGCGCACTCGCGCTCAGACTCCGCCAGCAGCACCGTCACGTGCTTCACCCTGCATCATCATTACCATACATCCATCACTGCAGCCTTTACCAATATGTTACTAGACCAGGCCTTTTCCCTTTGGAATGCACTCGCACGATATCATCATACCATCTGGCTGGTCATATCGGTCATACTTTTTTAAATATCAGTTTACGCTTTGTTTGATTCAGTAATTGTAAAAATGTATTTATTGATTTAGAATAATTAAAATTAAAAATGTTTATAAATGAAGAAAATTTTATAAATTACGCCAAAATATTAAAAAAAAATGGATTTGTATTCATATGAATCTGATATCTAACAAACTGCTATAGAACACAGCTCAAGTCATTAGTATTCTAACATTGAATTGTTTCATATAAAATAGAACTCTATAGAATTGTAACAATAAGGCAACTATGTTACCTCTGCTGCTGCCCTTGTAATTTCCGCCGTAACTCAGCAATCTCCTGCTCCGGCGTGAGGGAGAGCGCGGCGGTGTCCAGTGCGTCATCATCTGGTACCCCCTCCTCCAGCAGCCTCTCCAGTGGCATGGGGGAGCGCCTGCCCTCCGCGCTGGTTAAGTACGGCTTCGACAACGGTGGAGAGGAAGCGGACTCCGAACCCTGCGGGAAAGTAAACACAATTATTTTTACGGCTGAAATATTGTAACGATCAATTGCGATGCTAACATTGGTTAATTTTTAATAAAATAATAAAAATAAATAATTAAAATTTGTCACAGAAGTAGTACTTTAGTTTTACGTTTTGTTCACCACAAACACAAAATAGTTACAATCATATTACACGATACCTCTCCTTCTTCCCTCGGTATCATGGTGACATTGAAGTCAATTTCACCATCGCTGATCTCGTCTTTAGGGATGACGGGCAGCATGTACTGCTTGTCTGGCACGCGCTCAGGTTCACCGGACTTGCGCTCCAGAGCGGCCGCCAGCTGCGACCGCAATGATTCTGTCTCTTTCTGCAGTTTCGTCTCCAACTCGACTATCTGCGCTTTGTAGCACTGTGTTAAAGTGGACACCTGCAATAACATGTAGAAAAATTATAAAAATAAATTCCTAGAACATTAGATAGTACAAAAAGAAATTTACGATGTTCGTTTAGATTTATAACTGAGTTCGGTATGTATAGTCATAGCAGCATACCACATGTGCTAAACTATAGCTATAGTCAGTTTGCTGTACGACATTCAATTCTAAATGGGATGTAAAATAAAAACTTTAAAATGTGTACCTGTAACTTGTGCTGCGCCCTCTCGGACTCAAGCTGGTGTGCGAGGCGTGTGAGGTCGGCCTGTAGGCGCGAGGTGCGCTGGTGCGCGCGCGCCGCCTCCGCGCCCGCCTCCGACACGCGCTTGCGACACGCCTCCACCTCCGCACACTGCTCAGAATACTGCGCCCTGACAAACATACAAATTAATCCCTCCAGAAATTGATATAAGATTGAACTAAAATAATCAACGCGGTAATACAATTCAAACTTATGTAGCAATGGTCAATAATTAACAAGAGACTCTGAAATTGCAAAATATGAAATTGATTGCGTCTTCCCTCCCTCTTCCATCTAACCTTAAAACTAACTAACAATCGCAAACACAAACTTATTATAAACAACAACTTAAAGAACACAAAAATCTTAAATTAGTTAAATATTATTCAAATAAGTTTACTGTAAACTGTTCAAATTGGCAGTGAGGCTTTCTATTTGAGCTCGAAGCGCTGCGGTCTCCTCCTTGAGCTGCTCCTCATGGCTGTGGTCCACCGTCTGGTTTTGACGCAACACAGCCTGAGCCCTCACCTACAAACATTAAACATTCACATATATATTAGCTTTACGTCGCAATAAGAGCGAGACAACT